AACTTTTAAAAGACAAAGATTATGTTTTTATGCAAATATTCTTCCTGCTGTTAGCAAACGGAGAGGGAACGTCAGCAAGTCACATAACACAGTTCCTTCTAAATGGGAAGATTTCTGATATTTTCCATACCGTCTCACCAGTTCTTTGAAGTCAGGTCCAAATGAACATGAGCAGAAGAAACCAAAGTGCCTGTCACTCTTGATATGTCTCTTTGCATTTACATTGCTGAGACTTTTATTTTTTCCTCCTGGAATTAATGACAATTTCTTTGTCATTTATGCTAATATTACTGGAACACTGCTTTTCATATTTGATATGAAACTTCTAGTGGAAATATTGGGTTCCTTCAGGGACCCTTGCTTTATAATACATGTTGTTCTGATTATCAAGCCTGCAGAATTTGGTCTGCTTTCAGACTTCAATTTTACATTCCTGACACAGGAAATTCATTTGCTAGGTTATTGGGTGTTGGGAGGAGACCTCAACATTTATCAAACAGCTTTGACCTATTCTTCCCTGTACATGATAAGGTTGCTGTAGTACCAACCCTCTCTGCAGCTGCAGTGTTACTTGTTTACAAAGTAGCTTAATCTGCTGGCATTAATGCTATAGCAGAGGAGTGTTGAAGAAAGGTAACAAAATGAAGGAGGTCCTACCCAAGAAATCACTAGCTTGTTTGAAGTCACTGGAGAAAAATCTATGAGGCTACAGGAGGACCAGAAGGATCTAATATTGAAATTAGATACAGAAATGTGATTCTTTGTTGTCAAATTGCTATAGAAAACCCCTCCTTTCTATTCATTTTTTTTCTTCCATCTACAGAAATGCACCTGGAAAGCACAATGCAGTCCACTTAGGAAGATAAACAAGACATCTACTCCAGGCACCTCTCAGCTTAGCAGTCAGTCGTCTCCCCAGAGTCAAAGCCCTTGTGACAGCATAACATCTGCTGCACTTTGCTCTGAAGACGACATCAAGATTAATGTAGCTTCATCTGATGTTATGAGTGAATCAGCACAAGCTAAAGAACCACCAGCTCTTTTCCCCTGTAAGTAACTCTTCTTGACTGCCAGTATCAAATGGATTTGCTTTCAGTGTTACTAGGGAGAACCTATGTCAAAGACACTGCTAGATGTACCAGTGTATTTCTCTTCAGGTGTATGGAACTTTGTACAAGTCTCTCCGTGCTCTCCCTGCTAGCGAATTGGTTTAAAGACAATATAATCCCATGTGAATATTAAGTAAGAGTTCTAATTAGTATTCAGTTACAGCAGTTGTATAATCAGACTGTCATCCATATCTGTAAGGTCCAACAGCAGGTAAAAACAGTGAAACTGTTCTCTGCCATAACCAACTGAACCACTGAACACCTATCTGTCTAATTCAGGGGTTTCCTCTACTCTCTAATCCTCCTACTCATCCATCAGTGATTACCTGTGCTTGATAAACTATTCCATCAGGTCTATCTGTTAGCTGTGCAATGCGTTTCAGTACAAAGCTAGGTAATCTTAAGTCTTTTTCCCTTCCTTCTAAGTAAAGCTGGACCAGAAAAACACATTAGCATTTAGTACTGCTAATTATCTTTTAATTGGCATTTATATTATCATTATTAGGCTCACATCATGCTCTGCTAGACTTTAAATTACCCCTCAGGAAGGAACTCATGGAGTCATTTGGGATAGTTCTGTGAATGTTCAGTAGCAATCAGAAAGGCAAAAAGAACCCGAAGAATGAAGTGGAAGACAGCAGAAAACATGTTATGCAAAAATACAAAGGTTTTGTATGTGCTTCTTCAGTTCTGGTCCTTCCAATTCAAATAGGCTTGTATCAGAAGTAGTAAAATTTGATGGAGGGAGAAAAAAAGGGATGGGGTATGTTGGAAATACAGAATAGCTTCCATATGAGAATCAATTGAATAGACTAGGGCTTTTCAGTGCAGAAAAGAAACAGCTGAATATGGGGTTATGACAGATCTCTGTAACATCATGAAGTGAAGGGAAAAAAGTGATTAGAGAGGGTTAGTCACAAGTTCCCTTGACACCAGATTTATGTGACACCAAATTAAATTATCTGGTGGAAAATCTAAAGCAATGGGAAGTGTTTTCATGCAATGTGTGCTTAAACTTAGGAATTCATTGCTACAGTATATTGCTGGAATTATGTTCAATTCCAAAAACAATTAAACGAACAGAAGAAAAACAATTAATTGCCCTTGAATGTAAAGGAATGGACACATTCTCTGGGTCTGAAAGGCCTTTAGGTTCAGACTGCCAGAAGCTGGATGGATATATCAGGAAGCTTGCACTAATGTCATATACTCCCTACACAGCTGCTGCTGTCCATGGCACTGAACACAGATGAATGTCTTTCCTATGACATGAATGGGAGTAGTGGAAAATTCAGAGTTATAATTTAAAGAAATTTATTTACAGATGTAGGTGAACAACCGGTTTGTGTGTGAGATGAGATTTGAAAATAATCTTGAGAGCTGCAACAGCTGGGAGGCTCCATTTGCTGTGGAACATAAAGAAATATCTTGCGGTATGTGTGATGTACGAGAAGGATGTTCCGTGTATGCTTTAGAACAACATCTATCATGTGATTGCCTGTGATTTCAGGGGACTGGCCTGAGTTACCAGTCTGGTCCTTTCCAGGATTATATTCCTAGCTCTAAAAAATATGGGAAGTTAGTTTTTGCAGGGCAGCTCTGTAGCAAAGGTTGGATTCTGTAATCAATTCTGAAGCTGCTAGAATCATGTTTAATTCTGGATTCTGATTATAGGATGCTTCATGAACAAATCGAAAATGGATTACAAGTACAGCTTGTACAGCTGTAGCCTTACACCCAAAATTCACAAAGCTTCATGTAACTCATACAGACATAATTTTGAGAGCACACACAACTCTAACCCACACATATGCACATATATATATTTTTTTTTTTTTCAGAAATGGGAAAGAGATTCTGTAGTAGGCAGCTAATCAGTAGATACAGCTGAGTGTGACTTACAGAAAGATTTCTTTTAAGGAAAGAATTCATAACTCAAAGCCTTTTGTCCAACTATAACTTAGATGCTGCTGTTTGGGGACTGCTGCTGTAGAATGTCTGCTTATACAAATTTGATTTTTCAGTGCTGTTGGCTGAGTGAGGACCTGTACTTGTCCAAAAGTTTAAATGTCACATCATGCTGACAAAGGTAAACGTGGAAGCTGCAGTCCTTGCAGCTGTGGTATAACAACAGGTCACTGCTGAGCTAGTCTCATTTATCACTCAATCCCCATCTAATCAGTCCAAGATTTTACAAAGCAGATTAGTGTTCTAAGCTTGCTACCTTCACCACTTTTAAAAACAAAAAGAAAGAGACTTTATGATCTAAATGTTTGCCTAATTTTTCATGGTTACTGTGTAATGAAGAATGTGTGTATGCAGATCAGTTCAAACGGCATACATTTTCTTCACACTGAGAAATAAAATGTGAGACCTGTATTTGAGAGATTAAACACTAACTGGAGTTTATCCCTAAAGCTTTCCAGCCAGCAGTTTAGCTTTGAATTCTCAATCAAAACCATACTTTTAAAAGAGGAAGTACAAATATTTGTGCAAAGGATCTTAATTATAAAACTTATACCTGAATTTTGGGCTTTTCTTTGGGACTGATCAATGTCTTTTTCAATTGATTTATCATTGTTAGATCCCTGCAAAACAGGTAAATATTAATGCCGCATTTCACAGATGATTAAGGCATAGGAATCAAGGTCAAGTGAAATTATTACATTCTTCTTTGCTATTTTTCTTTCTAATTAATGTCTGACTAGCTCACAGCTATGGAGGTTAATATTTCGAAAATATTATGAATATGGACAAGCTTGATTATTTGTTTTCCCCGTTTCTCCAGATGGAGAATTGGAGCAGGTTCTAATGCTACCAAACAGAGGGCACAGAGGTATTACGCCCTCTGTTTCTGTTGATCAGCCAAAAATAGGAGCTATATCTTTGTGGTATTAGCCCTGGTTTGCTTCCTGTCATCTCTCTCCAAAATCTGCCAACAGGACTGCTTCCAGGACTGGCTTTAGACAACTCGACTGCTCTTGGAGAAGCATCAAATGCAGCCACTGCTTAGTATAGCCCTCTTCCCCCTAAGCACCATTATCTGCAGAGTAGATGGGTTTCAGATATCCAGCTATTCAATCTGCCCAAATGGTAACCATAAATAGAAAGGACCGGGTTCTTCTAAGAAGGCTTCTGACAGTACTTGCCAAGAACAGATGAGATCTGTATGCAGCCTGAGTTCAGTTTGAGCAGAGGCTCCCTGCCCGTATCAATGTCAGGTTCCAGACCCTGTGGGGGTCAGGCTTTGGATACAAACTGCTCCTCAGCTCTAGAGCTCTAGAAGGTTCAGTGGAGTACCCAGCATCTTACAGGCTTACACTTGGAGACTAGTAAGGGTCACAGTGGTGCCATCATTAGAACCAGTCAGTGCTAGAACTTAGGAATTTCTGACTGGGACCTTGGCACTCTTGAAACTCACCTGGACGCAGCTAATAGATGATCTTCATGGTTCTTAACATTTTAGCTATTAGCTGGTGCCCAGCAACTTGGTCCATCCATGTTTTACATTGAAAAATTCACCATATAATATTCAGATCTGTACTTTTAACGAGTATAAATAGTTTATGTTGCTATTTAACACAGACAACATTCAGCAATAATTTTCTATTATTCTATATGTGGTGCTTCACAAAAGTGTAGAAAAAGGACCTTTTGAATTTGGGGATTACAATTTCAAGGTGTTGACATTACACTGCGCACTCACTTACTACCATGTAGGACATATTGAGTACCTCAGAGGATGACTTAGAATCTGACAGCTAACACTGAGATTTTTAATAACAAGAGTGACAGTTGTTTTTACTGCATGAGTGATTAGAGGGAACGATGCAGAGAAGATGGCCGTCTCTGTGTCTCTCCAGGGCTTTGGCATCAAAGCAGGAAT